GGAGCATAGACTATAGCTCATATAATCACCGTAGTCAGGCCCGGGCTCCTGGTCTTTTCGCATCTGTCAGCCCTTGTTTGATGGGGTGTTATATCAGGGACCCCCACATTGAAGGTGAGGCTTTTCCCCGGGTATTTGGAAGCATGTGTCTTAGGTATATGATGCTCATGAAGTAGCTACTGGAGGGTCAGGGGGGCTAGGAGGAGGAATTGTTCCATGCCGGGGGGTCCTTGTTATCTTTTGGCACCAGCAACCCTAAACCCGACAACCTAAATTTCAACAGCCGCAAGCTTCGCACATGGATTCCAGCGTGTGGGGCTTCACGTGTCCCTTATTGCAGGTACCCAAAGCACGGACGCTACCGCAGTTTGGAGATTTTCGGGGCTGCTCTAAGCACCATGGCTGCCGTCTTCAACCCTGGAGGGAAGAAGAATCTTTTAGACATCTCAGCAGACAATCCCTTTCCCCGGAGAACTTGAATAACATCTTTACTGTCGACACCTAGAGAATTAAAAATATGATGATCCTAGATTCCTCGGATATTCATAGTATGGACACCTCAACTGGACCTCAAAACCATACCCAAAAGGTCCAAAGTACCTATANNCAAAGTATGGTTTCTGTAGTAATAATTTCCCTTATGGTTTGGGTAAGTATTCCCCATATGGGTACTTAGGACCCTTTGGGATACGGGGAAGTGTTTAGGGCCAGTCATTACCCTCTCTGCTGCCTTGCCCGGCAGGTGCTTCCAGCTTTAAAGTCTGAGCTGGAGGTCGTGAGCCAGAGTAGTGAGCACGTCTACGTCTGACAGCACAAATTCTCAAGGTTAGTGTAGCCCTTGAATATGGGGAGAACCCCAGATCCCTGGCATCATTACAGTATAGGGTGCCTCAACCAGATTTCAATTGTGGATTCGTACTTATTTAGGCTCCTGTAGTTTCAAATGCTCGAGGTATGTAGGCCCTTAGATTACAGGTCATTCGTCAAGTGTTCACCGTCTAGGTTCGGCTTCCTCAAATACATCCTACGTGGGAGTTTGTCAGGACAGCACCACCAAGGGGACCCCAGCGGATCTACTGGGAATACAGAATAACCTTTAGGGATTGCATAAGGGAGCAAATCTTGCAACAACGTAGAAATCCAAAAGTTTTGTAATAGCTATCATTGGAGCCATATGGGTATTTTTCCAAAATTAGGGGTACCATTTTGGGGGTCCCTATAATAAGGATTATAGTATTTTGGGGTCTATATTAGGGTCCCCCCTATTTTGGGAAATTATCATATAGGGTGCAAGATTCGCTCCATCCGCAGTGTGTTCGGCAGCCGTAGACATCAATTCCATAGCGCAGCTTTGCCGAGCAGTCGCTTTGGGGCTTAATCCGTCCATGGCGGGAGCTCTCCTTCTCGATACGCCTTTATACCCTAGAAGCCCAGGTACCCATATAGTAGGTCCTTGGGTTATAGATAGTAGAAACTCATATAGGGACTTAAGGACAGGAACCTAATATATAGGTAACTGCGCTTCTATACGCCTTTATACCTTGAAAAAGTCTAGGGTTTAGGGTTTAAGGTTTAGGGTTTAGGGGTTTAGGGTTTAGGAAGTGTACGCTGAGACTCGTAAAGCAGGACAAGTTGGCTGTAAACCCGGAAGCCCAACAGGCTTGACATCAGGTTTGCTGTGGAAAGAACATCCCAAATACGTCCGCGACTTCCGAACCACCCATCTTAGCACCAAGCTTAGCATATTATTTATTGTCATTGAGGGTGTTGGGCTTCAGGCATTTGAAGTTTACGGCAATATACCGCGCATGATCCAGGAATGGCATGCATGGGTTCCAGATGTTTCCATATACGCTGTTTGGGCGAGACGTGGCAAATATCAGGGCGCTGCCAGCACTCTGCATTGCCCTATCATAATACCCCAAACCATAAATCTCTGACCCTATCATAGTCATATGTTCTTGCTGGGTCCTTACTATAGGGGTTGGGGTAACTAAAGCCCCCTTACTACGCATCTAAACGATTAAGGGTGATGGAGGACACAACCGTCCTCAGGGACAGTAGAGACAACCACCGCATCTGCCATTTGAGTACACCCTAGCACAGTGCTGTCTGGCACAATAGCAAAAGGACTTCAATGGGGACCCCAAACAGGGAACCCCGAGAAAGTAGTAGGGACATTCGAAAGTCTAAAACTCCGAGTATTCCCGTTTATAAGCCTCAAAATACTCTCCTATATAATCCCCTATCTAACCTGTTTTTTTTTTGTGCAGCCGCATAATTATAAGACGCCTGGCCTGCCACCGTGACGCTAGCATGCACCGAGGCATGCCTGGTTGCATGGAGATGGATCATAGGTTTCAGGGTCTAGGGAGGTCCCTAAACCCTAGATCCTAAACCCTAAAAAAACCTTAGCCCTAAACCCTAAAACCATCTAAGCTCTAAACCCTAAACCTTAAAAAGAGCCGAAACCTGAACCCTAAACCTTCAGGGTGTACGAGGGTTTCTTGGGATGGTACCTGAAGGGAGGCTACTTGGAGGGTCAGAGGGACTTAGTAGGTAGGTTAGGGTTTAGGGTTTAAGGTTTAGGGTTTAGGGTTTAGGGTCAGAGGCACTTAGTAAGTAGGTCAATAACCCCATAACCCATATAGTGTCCCCAATAACCCCATTTTTAACCTAGCTACCTAGTTGTCAAGTCCCCCTGACTCTCCAAGTAAGTTGGAGGCTTGCATAATTGGGGCTGCTCTGAAACACGCTTGAACCCGAATCGCGCATCGGTTACACGTATTTCCTCGAAACCCAACTGACCCTAAACTCCCTAGACCCTAAACCCTAAACCCTGATCTAAATTAGCAACCTCAAAGTTTGGGCTCAGTGTCTATGCCAGCATTCTGGAGCTTCTTCTTTTGTTGGCCGCTGGGAAAGTAAGAGCTTCGGCCCAAGCATTGGACCCTTTGGCTAAAGCTTTAACTCTTGAAGGTTAAATGACACACTTCCAAGCCTACACTCCGGCCCCTACGCCCTGTGTACCTGTATGGGTTTAGGGGGCTTAGGATTTTAGTGATTAGAACCCAGGTACGTACCCAAAAAAAAAAACTACACAGATCCCATGTGGGGGTAGTCGGGGGATTCTGGTAGGCCGTTGAACGCTATGCATCCTCTGGCACGCCTGAGGCCAGTGGCAACTTCGACTGTGCACCGGCGAGCTCAAGCAGCTGGAGGAACAAAGTACTGTAATCGATCGTATCGTAGTTGGAGGGTTATATTGGGGTCTCCCGATCCTTCAGAACGACAGGAATGAGTTTTAGGGCAGCACAGTTCCAACCAATATTCAATACATAATATGAAAAATGTTCCATGTCGCGCATGCGACTAAGGGATTCAGGTGTTAGCATCTGATGGGCTTCCTGTCATTCTGCTTCGCATTCTTAAGTCACCCCTGAAGACCATTAAACAACCCCACAAGTTGCCTCACAAGGAGGGCTTCCAGGTTTAGGGTTTAGGGTTTAGGCTGGAAAGCAAGGCAACACAACTTTGATAAGAGGTCAGGACCTATTGTCAATATGATGGTGTGCATGTAATGAGGAATGTAGATGCCTGAAGAATTTCCAACAAAATGGTTTTAGACTCCTTGTATATTGATGGCATAGTACCTCAAGCAGACAACAAACTGATGTTGGGAATGCTTTAAGCCCTTACACTATGGCGGGGCTTCGGGTTGTGCAGGAGCATTGCGTGGGCTAATTCTCGAGCGATTTCGCGCTCATCCTGCCAAGAAGTGAGCGATGTTGAGAGCAGTCATGGTTATGAACAGCGCAAGCCAATCGAGAATCCCAATGCTTATTGAAATGCATCTTCCAAATCCGAACCCGCAAGAAGAATCTCCGGACAAGGCATGGCATTTATTTTCAAACGGTCCCCGGCTCTAGATCTTTAGCCAGGTCTCAGAACCACAAGTCCCAGGGCCTTGTGACACAAAGACTTTTGCAGGAGAAGCACTTGCGGCTCGTTGATGATGTGAAGGTGCGTCATTTAGGTCACGGCGTGTCTGCTTTCAGTTTAAGGGCTGATCCCGGATAGAGTGTCTTTCACATTCTAACGCAAAAGAGAACTTATGGTCAGAACACGACATCAGGAAGTGTTCGCTCTTGCTGGCTTGGAAGCCAGCTTTGCTTAGAGAGTGGGGTTGAGGCTTTGGCAAGACAGCAGCGCGTCAAGCGGAGCTTTAGACGTACTTCCCAAACAGGCGCTTTGATGTTCAAATGCTCTTCTCGAAGCCTGGTTTAGATTTCAGACTCGTTGTTGGGGATTGGCCTACGCGTCTACGGTAGATTCATCAGGCCCCCTGAAAACCCGGACCTGGAACTTGACAAGAAAACCTTCGACGTATGTGTTGATGTCCCAGTTTTGCAGGCTGTTAGCATGAGATGCCAGTCAGTTATAAGCTCCACTTCATGTGGAGGATTTCCTCAAGCATCTGCTAGCAATAATTTTAAGAGTGCACACGGCAATCCCATTCCAATCCCCAGGACACATCACCTGACAAGATATGACCCTCAAATGGTGTCCGCGCTTTGAAATTGTTATTCCAGGGTGGGTGAGTGCCATACGCAAGTCATGACTTAGAGTCCTGAGCATCTCTGAGTGCTACAAGCCTCGAGTTGCAGAGGCAGCCTTTTTGTGGGGAACTTTCACCGTAGTTTGTTGGTTCTTGCGGTACTTCTTGGTTCGGAGGAGCCCGGCCGTTCTTTGATTTCGCCATTGTTGCATACCGTTTTGTTAAAATTGTTTTGTTCTGCTGAGATCCAGTAAGGACTACATGGCTAAAGCGATAGCCGTTGATACCATCCCACTAAGGAACCCGTTTGGATGAAGCCGCTCAAACCAAGCGTTGTTACCGGGTTTTATAGGGATTGCATAGGGGCTCTATTTGGGGTTCTATTGGGATGATGGAACAGAAAATGGAAACCATTTTTGTGTAGATGGGCCTATTAGGGTCCACTACTCGGTGAGGGGGTCAGCGTCATGTTCTTTGTTTTTGACATTGCAGGCTCCTCCACCTTCGACGCTTCATAGCATGATTATAGTAGCTCCCATGTTCTCTGGGATTTCATAGTAGTGAAATTCTTGCACCGCACTGCATGGCTCCAGTTCAGGAGACGCCAGAGTTTAAAATCATGCAAAGATCATCCTTCAGATGACCTTGAGCTTCAAACCCCGAATCCCTCCGTTGGCCTTAAACTTTAAGCTGTACAAGACCTTGTGTTTAGTGCAGGAGGAGCCAGACCTGACGACCTTCGGGACAGAGGCCGCCAGTGAGATTTGGGGTGATACTCTGGGGCTATGGGGGCTTTATGGGGCTCATATAGGGGTTATATTGGGATTGTATTGGGATAATGAAAAAGACGATGGAAACTATTCCAAACCCCTTATCATGGCGAAGAAAAACATGGAACAGATGAAAAACCAAATGGACACTAGGTGGAGATAGTGGTCTATGGGGATACAGCACTCAAGTATAGAGATACAGCATTCAAGTGAACCCAGCCCCTAAAACAACGACCCCAGGACCATCAGATATGAGTCTTATAGTCTGTTTCTTTTATAGCTTAGGGTAACCCAAACCCTGATTATTTTTGGAGCAAGCTCATGAAACCTCAAGGGCTTTCGCAAACAGATGTTCAGGATTGCCTTGACATGTGCATGGGAGGGCATCTTGAGTAGCAGCTGCCCTTGACAAAGAAAGCGACGTTCGAGCCTAGGAATTGCAACTTTGAGACAAAATATGCAAACGAAGATGTAAGTCCCATCTCCTCCAAATTTTTGTTGCCGGATGAAAAGCTCACGACCCAAAAGGATGTGACAAGCTGTATGTAAGCAAGGGTCCGGTTTTAGAGCCCGGGGCTATTACATGACAGCACAGAAGCCTCTGCGGCTCTAGTGGAAGGGTCAAAACAAGTTTTGGGACTCCAGACCGTTTGTCCAGATCCCATGCGATAAGACATTGAATTCCAAGGATCCAAGGACCCTTGTCCATTGGGTTTGTGTCTGCAGGTCTGTGGATCTTTGCAGAGATCATTCGGCACTGTGGAGTATAGCTTATGGCTGGGGCCTCACCCACATGGGCTTGGTTTGCAAGTTCGTGATCTTCCACAGGAGCCATGACACCCCCCCTTTAGGGAGTTTAGAATATGCCTCACATTTTGTAATGGCTTTCTGAAGTAAGACATAGTTGCCTTCACGCAGGCGTTTGGGAGTTTTAGGGGGGCATGCCGACCCAAGCAGTTCGCATGCAGTTGTGCAAGGCTATGAAAGGCTCAGGCTAGGCCCCCAAACAGTACTTGTAGCATCAGGGGAATACTAGTTTTCAAGAATACGACTCCTCCTGCTGCTGCTCCTGCTGTTACTGCTGCCAGTACGATCTCACAATTGCAGGATAAGGCACCAAAGCTGCAATGGGCTCTCTTCTTTGGGGGAATTCACAACTGCCAAAGCTACGACCACGAATAGTACTACTGTTGATGGATGAAATCTTGCACCACCTTAAGTCCCTAAAGTCTTAGGAAGTACAATAGTTTAAGGCCCCTAGGTGGTGCAAGATTTCCTCCATCAACAGTACTTCCAGGACGAAGGTCCACATACCAGGAGGTCAGGTCCATACGACTAAGGCTGCAGATTTCAGGCGGCTTAAAGTTCGCATCTTCATGCGTCAGACATACTTGGAGGCCCATAGGACTTAGTAAGCATTTATAACTGGGCTTATAACCCTACTTATAATCCTCCTCAATGGGCACTATAGGGGTTACCCAAATTATAAGTAGGGCTATAATGCCAGTTATAAGTAGTTACTAAGTCCCATGGGCCTCTAAGTAGTGATAACGCCTCGCCCGCTAAAACAGTCCGTTTAGGGTTATTGCTTGTTAATCGCGCCTCAACATTAATTATTCAGTTGCAATAGAAGTCTTACATCCCGGTTTCAAGACCCATCCCTGTCATTCCTGAACCTTATATGATTATGTCAGTGGATCTGTGGATCCGGAGGCAGAACTGCATGTGCATGGCCATGCGCATGTCGAAGCCGGGTATTCTGCCTAGACCCCCATACCCTTATACTCCTTGCTTAGGATGCTTAGGATACTCAGCTTAATGTCTAGTATCTCCTATATATAAAATATATACGTACCCTTCACCAGAAATCCTAACACCCTAGAATTCTAAAACCCCGAAACCCCAAAACCCTTGTAATAGGGGTCTAGATATAGCCCTTAAGTAGATAGAATACGGGGGTCTTACTATAATATACCCAGAGCCATGTTCTATCTAGTTGAGGGGGACTATAACCCTAAACCCTAGATTCTATCTACTTAAGGGGGACTCTAACCCAAACCCTAAACCCTAAAACCTAGTAATAGGGGTCTAGGTAAGGCCCTTGATCTTCTCTGGCTTCGTGCGTGTCCGTTGCCCTGACCTTCTGGTCGCCAAGCTCAACGCGCAATGCCCCGCGGCTGCCCACAGTATGGGATCCCATGGTGTTGTTCCTAAATTCTAGAACCTAAATAGGCTTCAGGGTCGTGGGCTTAGGGTATGACATTTGAGGTTAGATTCCCCAAAGAAGGTTATAGTCCCCCTGATGAAGATAGAACGTGGCTGTAATCTACTTAAGGTGGACTATACACAAGTCTCCGGAATTCCAGAATCTCCTTGTCATCCCCACAGTGCCTACAGGGTCGCCAGGGGTACTTGTATTTGGAAAGTTTTTTTGTTTTTAAATCATTGGTCGATTTGTTGGGTCGATCTGCAGGGTTCCCGTAGTAAGGACCTCATTGCCTCGAGGTATTCGAAAGGTTTACCCTTCCCATCTTCTTGCGGTGCTCTTTGCCATTGAGAATGCATGTTTGCCGGTACTACATGTATAACTTGGCTGCTACTCCCCACCTTATAACAGTCCGCGATTATTTAAATTGTGGAAGTTGTGGCAAAAAGGTTGTAATTTTGGGGGTTCCTATGTATGACAGTGATAGCCCATGCATTACCGGCGATTCTCCAGATCCCTATACCTGAAACTCTCCTTAGGACTCAGTCGTTTGAGGTGAGGGTTTAGGGTTTAGGGTTTAGGCTTAGCCAAGGAGTTTTCTTCAAGCAGGACCCTAAACCCTAAACCCCAACCCCCCATTCCCTACCCTACCCTGGTTTAAGATCGACTGTAGGGTGCAGAGGGTGCAGAAGATAGCCTAGGGAAATTTCAGGTGGGCAGTTTCCCCCACATAAGCCTTACATAGCCGTGGGAGTCCCAGTGTCCCCAAAATAGGCATCATATAAGCCTTAAGGGTAATCAACTTTTTGGAGTAATAGTAGTAATATGAAAGATAATATTCATACTCGCAATAACGGTAATATTACTAAGAGCTAACCTAACTTCAACTAGACAGGCTTCAGGGTTAGGGCTTTTGGTGCGACAACTGGCCTTGAGGAACCCTCGCCGAAAGGCAAACTGTTACGCCGGAGCACCATGAAGAAGTCCAAAAAGAACAGCAGCAAGTGCCGAAACACCAGAGACTGAGCTGAAAACCTCAATTCTCGGCCCTGAGCCTTCAGCTGACATAGTCAACTGATACACCTTGACATCGCCCAACCTTAGTGAAAAGCTTGAGTGAAAGCCCGGAAAATGTTGGAAGCATTTTTGCTAGAGGCCCTCGGAAATCAGATAGTCGTAGTACAAGTAAAGGCCCGTTTACGTACTCGCGACCTGCCCGTTGTTGCCGCTCATGAGGTTTCCAAGGCATAAGCGTTGTGGACTGGACCCCTTGTTTTGGAACACAGCAGTTTCCTGTATAGCTAGCTCCGTCTGAGATTGAGTGGGAATCCATGGCATGGTTGCCCACTATTGAGTTGCTTCCGACCTTCATGCCTACAGCTTAGCATACCTTAGGAAGACCCCCCCCCCACCCTGTAATAGTGGTATAATCGGAATATAAGAGGACCCTAATATAATCCCTTTTATTCCCTATAGTCACGAGTACTGGGTGGGGGGACCACCCATCTCCACAACTGCAGGAAACCTGCACTCTTAGCTTGCTTCCTCAGAACCTAAGCTCTGGGTTTTCTTCCAAGAGATCCCTGTTGGCACTGAGCAAATATATACATTGTTGGCATATGAGCTATAATCTAAACTCCTTCAAGGGGGCTATGTAGGGGTATATATAGGGGACTACTGTAGGGGATATTAAGGGGGATACTAGGAGTTCAGATAATGGCTCATATGGACGTTTGGACCCCCTCAAATCCAAGCCTGCGTCGGGTTGTGCTGAGGCGACAGATTGCAGGCTCAGCTCTTGGCTTCACAGCATATCTCTCCATGGGAGTTATATAGGGATACATAGGGGTTATATAGAGGTTATACAGGGATATTGGGGTTAAATAGGGATGTATAGGAGTTAGGCCTGCCTTCAAAATGCCCCCGAATACCCTCCAAAATGAATAAACACAAAAGTGTGAATACTGCTGCAATGTTTTTTCAATACATATATGGTTACGGTGTGGGATGATCTTGTATTGGGATTTGATCATGAAGGATTCGCAGGTTCGAGGTGGAAAATAGTCGTAAGAGCCTGCCAGCTGGCAGAGGTCAGTCATTTCCTCATACAGCATGGGGCTTCCCAAGCATAATGTGGTCATTTCCCAAAACTAGGCGTACCATTTTAGGGGTCCCTATTTTTCGGACAATAGTATTTGAGGGTCTATGTTGGAGTCCCCTTATCTCGGGAAACTACCATGTCTCCTGTGGGCTTTGGGGGATGATTTGGCAAGTGTCCAAAAGCTCATTTGGGCAACATCCGTTGAGTTCCTGCAGTAGGTCGGGGGCTGAGAGCCTTGGAGTTTGAAAACACAATTGTAGAGGTTTCAATGGTTCAATTTTAGAGGTTTCAATGATTCGTTTTCAGAGGTTTCAATGGTTGGGTTGAGGGTGCATCCGCACACGATTGCGCAGTTTGAATATTGGAATGATAAGGTTTGATCATCAGGGGGGTCTGTCAAAGTGCTTCTCATGTTGTTTTCGAACACGCAAACACGCAAACCTGGTCTTTCATTTGGTGCTGTGCGCATGCTGGGGTGGCCGACGGACTTGCTTACAGAGTCAGGAATCGCGACAGGAATCGCGATAGTTGTCGTAAGAAGATGCCTAGATTTAGACTATTGCAATGCAATTCTTTGAGCTCGGACCACTCTAGACCAGGAACCCAGAAGCCGCGTTTTTAAAGGAAGCAGCCTATTTCAGAAGACTTTGTCCTTGCCCTCCAAATCTTGTATGAAGCTCGCAGGAAAGCACCTAAATACGGTCACACCAGTGATTACGGGGGATTGTTAGACGTGTCCATACTATGTATGGATTATAGTTATGTGGTTGTATTCTCTCAACCCCTCAACGCCCCTTGCTGAATGTCTCCCAACTTAGCGAGTATCCCACACCGTGCTGCAGGTCCTATAGTGGGGCCTACTTATAACATCTGTTTTTCGGACTCTGAGTTGTCGAATCAAAGTCTAGAAGTCCGAGTCTACAGGTCCATTTGGCCCATCGTATAGGCTTGGGCCCGAAAGTAGTTATACGGGAATCTTTTTGTGCCCTTCGTGTATTCAGTATGCCTGCATGGATATCGTTGACAAATGCCGTCCTGTAGTACTATAGTCCAAACTCCTAGGGGGGGTTATCTAAGGGATTATACAGGGGACTACTGTAGGCGTTGTTAATGGGGATGCTGGGAGTTTCGACTGTAGGTCATATGAGGGCGTGCGAGGTTTTGTCCCAGAACCAGACAGCTTGGGATTTATGGCTTGAGGGCTTTGGGACTTTGGGTGTAAGACGCAGGGAGGAGACTGTGCAGACATCAGTCAACAATATCTCGCCAGTTGCGGCAAGTAAGATAGACGGTAGCCATACAAAAAAAGGTGTAGCTTTTGATTTTGCAAGCTTCTAGCGACCTACTGGTTTGTGTGATATACGGTGGCAGACCTACTTGGAGGGTCAGGGGGGACTTAGTAAGTAGGCTAATAACCCCTATAGCCCATATAGTAACCCTAATTATCCCCCTAAACCCTAAACCCTAAACCCTATCCCCATTATTAACCACCTTGCTGAGCCCCCCTGACCCTCCAAGTAGGGGTCTGGTGCATTATATTAGGGTTTAGGGTTTAGGGTTCAGGGTTTAGGGTTTCGGGTCACCAAAGGTTTGATGAACGCCCTACACCCCAAAGGCCAACAACCCCAAGCCCAAGGACCTTTACCCCGTGGCTTTGAGACCTTGCCCCAAGGGTTGAAGGACCCAAATAGTAAGGTTTTGGGGCCCAAATACTTCAACATTAATGGTATTTGGGCCCCAAAACTCCACTGTTTGGGTCCTAAATACCCCTATATAGTCCCCATGTATCCCTATACATCCCCTAGAATCCCTTTAAAGGGACCCTATTATTTAGGTCCTTGGACCCTTAGGGTTGAACCACTGAGCAGGTTGGACTACGAAGGAATAGATAGGATGTACAGAAAGACGATCATCGGGGGCCATGTGAGCTATAGTCTAAACTCCTTAAACTGGTGTTTTCTAGGGGATTATATAGGGGAGTATTATTGGGGTTCTTAAAGGGGATACTAGGAGTTTAGACTATAACTCATGTAGTTTTGGCTAGTGGTATGCGCCCTCAAAACGGGTTCGGGGTTTGGCCTCCATGATACATTTGACGTACCCAACAGAGACCCTAAACCCTAAGCCCTAAACCTTAAAGACGAAAACCTTAAACCTTAACACCATAGTCCCAAGGGGTCCTAAGTATCTATATGGGGAATACTTACCCAAACCATGAGGGAAATTACTACTACAGAAACCATACTTTGTACAGGTACTTTGGACCCTT